TAGACGATGCACACTGACAGAATGATCCTCGAAAATGATGCACTCCTCCCACAAGTGGACTATATCCGAAAATTCTCATGTAATGGTTACATTTAAACCTCATGTGAGACCGAATTCGTTTGAGTGAGCTTGGCTTTGTGGGAATGCACAACCTCCGCACAACCGCAGAATGATGGAAAATCCATTCCCTGTGGCTATGGCAGAGCTGTTTGCAGGGCTGTGAACTTGACACGGCAATTCGAAATCTTCCCCGCGTCCTAGTTGTCCTCTTGGAGAACTGCTAACTTCCGGGAAAAATGGGCATTACTTCGATAAGCCGTGACAAATGCCACACCTCGATAGCCCTCGCCACAGGGATTTGACCTCATCCGTATCTTCTCGCGCAGTGCTCCGGGAACGGATTGATTGGAACCGCGTTCAACTCGGTGACAATGGCATGGAAATACGCAGCCCCACCCTGTAAAAAGGTTAGCATCGCTGTCTGACGTAAATAAGAGGTGATCGGGAATCCGGTCTGAGTGGAGAATTCGTTTTCCAGGTGGTGACGGATCTATGTACGATCGGAGTGACTCCAACTGAATGGATGAGAATCGAGGCCATTAACATGTCTGATCTCACGATTGGTCCATCGCGTGCAACGGCTATTAGGGGTGACCAGTCATCACCAGAAAAGGTCCCACTGTAGAATTCCTTCAGCGCACGACCGGTGATCCGAGTCGGTTACTCACATTCATCTTACACTACAACTCTTCTGGGTCAAGATGCTGCTTTCGGCATAGGACATGACCGTTTTCCGAGAGGGCTCGCCAGGGGCACCCTTACGATATGAGTAAGTTCATCTTCAAGCGGGCCGATCTCCGCTATAATAATACGAACAACTCCCTCGAGCTCAATCTTACGACTATAACAAGTCTGTCCGAGATAGACGAGTAAATAGAATTCGACGATCCATACGATTTGTCACCTCTGGTACATTTGCCTAGAGTCCAAGAGGAGTTTGCCGTCTTCGATCCATGTGGGGTCATCATGGACGTGACCCGCATTCTTCGCCTTACGCGAATTGAGGATGATAAAATGCTAACAAAATTCGATATACACATCACCGATAAGTCCAAACAATTCGTCGTGATCACGTCATGGTCTGACAATCGTGCTACTTACGTGGACAACATCGGTCGAGCGGCCAATTTCACGCGAATCAAAGTCGGGATTTCCCGGGATCTGCCGATATTCTCTCAGACTGAAGACTCTGAGGTAGTTTTCGATGAATCCATTCATGACATCAACATGCTCAATGATTGGTGGAATCAAACCCTAGGATTCGCTAACGAGCTATCACCAATGTTCGAAACACCAGATGTAACTATTGAGCTCAACGTATCCGACATTGTTCGAAAGATGACTAACCGACCTATTGACACCGCCTGGAGTAGCCCTTAGTGAAGTTTCTGGAAAAAAGGGGGAAGGAAACGAATGACCGATCGCGAAAACTTATGCGCCGACTACGCTCCCGAGGCGGAGCTCGTGACCACTAATACACAGTTCTTCGAGCCACCTACGACATGATTCAGGCGTGAAATCACAATTCAAAATGAATAAATTGAAAATATATCATTGATATAAGAGCTCAACTCGCCAGCTTGTGACCCTATATCATTCGGGCTTTGAGCAGCAGCGAAGCGCGGAAGGGTACGCTAGCCTTTAACACACACCTTCTTCTAAGTAAGGCGAGAAGCTCACATTCAGCACAATTCTCATTTGAGTTTCATTGAGGCTCACAACGAAGTCGAGGAGATCATGAGCTCCGTCTAGCAGTGATCGTTGACGCAAATCAATCCGAGGGGGAGTCAACAAACTGTAAGCATCTGAGAAGCCGAAGCCCGTTCAGGGTTAACGGGGAAGAATGCTCGGACATCCGGCGAGTTAATTACTGGAATCGAAGTCTTGAATCTCCTGCCATCACGATGCCATCATGCTCCAGAACATCACTAGAGGCCCAAAGCAGGAGCTAAGGCCCCAGCGAACCGTGATCCAATGAGTCAATCGAATGCGCAACACGCGGGTTAAAAAAAATCGGGATATCGAAACTACCAGCTTCTCCGACCGGCGAGACGCTGCAATGACGAAGCGAAAATGTCCGCGGGTTTTCCAAACGAGGCCATCGCTGGAAGCGCCCAATGATGTCGGGGCAAAGTTCCATAGTTCGCGGAGGTATTCCGAAGGATTAGAAGGCGCAAAGGATAATCTCGGCCGCAGAGGTAAACCCCGATAATTCGACTTTCTGTCTCAGGCGGTGAAGTATGGGTGGAGTTGATACATATGGCAACACGGACTGTTTCAAAATCAATTCCGAATTCAGTGTAGCTCCATTTCGAGCCCATGCGATCAATCGAGCCGGATACAGAGATCCCACGTAGCCACGATTCCAGAACCGTACTGTCAAGATGTACGGAGAGCAGCTGGGCTACATAGATCTCCCCGTATCAGTTAGAAACCTGCGCAAATTAGAGACGTGATATTGTCATAGGTTTTACTCCTGGAATATACATGTATACATATGTAGCGTAGAATAGCCTAGTGAGCCCTGCGGGATACTCCACTGGTTGCAGAGCGAAACGCGCGACAATCCTTTCGAACCGAGCAGCGATGTAGAATTCTGCCGCGGGAAAGGACCAGTCCCCGGCCGGCTCGTATGACCCCACGGTGTGCATCTATTACACTAGGTAGAAGAGCACCATGCGCTCTCCTCCCGACCCGGGCTCATCGACCACGACTACCTGTCTCAGCGTTGGGGCTGCTCACCTTGACTTCTCTGGGACTTGCATTTGTAGGGAACTCGGGAAGAGAAGATGGAACTTGGCACCCGTCGAATGGGACCATTGAGAAGCTCAGGAAGAATCCATCGGGAGTAGTAGAAGCGAGGAAGAGCTTCCTTCCGATATTCAGCGATCGTCCCGCGCTTCATAGCCCTGAGGAATTCATAGAGAATATCACTGGCGATTAGTGTTTATCGTGATTTCGAAATGGATTCCTCTCCATACTTCGTGAGCAGCCGAGAGCGATGCTCCTGATTGAGGTTCTTCATCTGGGAAGTAGATTCAATTCCGATTGGTAGGTCTATGAATCTACGCTCACTTCGGAGTGATTACTCAAGAGGCGAGCACATCTAATCAAGTGAAGCTCCCACATGCTGGAAGACCACATAGAATCGCGTCTGCTTGGAATGCGAAGCTTCCGAGTTGCAGATCAAGCGCTCATGACTCGTGACATGACCATGCGGCGCATTCAATCGGAATCGCGGACGGCATCATAACACTGTCATTGCTCCTCTGTATATAAAAGAGTCACCTGATGAATGCACCGAAAGTCCTCTCCGGAGAAGCGTCATTATGAACTATGAATGATGAATCCGTGAATTTTTTCTCGAACAGGGAAGTTGACGCGCAATGCAGGTTCTTCCTTGAGGAGAGCGATAACGAAGCTGCCCTAAATGCTGGACTGAAGTCATAGAGGCGACCTTGTCCCGTACTGTACCATTATGAGAGTAAATTCCGGAAGAAGTATACCCTTCCGAATGCCCCTCCTCTTCCCGCCGCTCTCCGAGTTCACGGGGTATATCCGCTGCATACTTCGTCGATTGGCGATTCGGCTCGACCTCCCTCAGTTCAGAGTTCAGGCTCCTCATCCGCGAGATCAAACTTTGAGTTCCTCGAGGGGCAGGGATTGGAACTCCAATCGAGGCTCCACAAGAGTTCTTCTCCTCCGCCGTCCGCGGTCTTGGGTAGGCTTTTTCAGCCATAATTTTCTGCTAGAGTCTTGAGGTTAGAGCCTCGAAGGATACGTGGCGACCAAACATACTGTATGAAGCTTTCCTGACGGCTGAACCTTCAAGCCGAACTTTGAGGTACAGGGCGTCAGCGATAAGATATCACTCCCGTGAACGGAACCTGGAAATTAATGTCCCCGCATGGACAGGGACCGGAGGCCGATTTCCGTGGAGATATTACGCCGGAGATTTCCGTGGAGGAATGCCGTCGAGGAGCTCCGAGAGGGATAACCGCCAGAAAACTTCACAAGGAGATCCCTCGAGGTTCGTGAAGAGATTTGGCCGTCAGTAGGACCGGAAAGCCGCCCCCCGCGCGAGCGGCGACACTCCACGAAATCGAAGCTGCCCTCGGCGAGAAGACGCGCCAACCTCGCGACCTCTCTTTGGTCGTAATACGTTGCGATTCTTAGAAAGAGGCGGGGACGAGGGCAGGGATGCAGCTCCGGGGCGTGCGCTCCCCTACCCGCACTACGATCTTGGATTTGGGAGCATCGAGTTCAGTGACCTATGGTAGCGTCGTCCACTGTCGTATTCACCTCGAATGATTGGAAATCAGTGACAGGATGAAGAACCTGCTCGATCAAGATCTATCGGGACGAGGTAAGGGAGATGAAGCTCGGATCACAGGGGACCGACTCCCGAGCATCATTATCTAATAAGCCTAGACCGACTAGCGGCCACTAGCGGGAACAGCGCTCAGCCCTAGCGGGAGAACTTCAGCCATCAGGCTGGGAGTAGTAGCCCTCTCATTGAGGAGGTCACGAAATATGTATCACTCACCGAACACAATCGATGGGTTCCTCGGGGAGCTTACTAGGACTTTTCCCTCCGGAACCGTAACTTTAGCGACACACTGGCTCGCTGGGTCGAGTCGAGGAGCCCCACCGTAGACAGATGAAAACATCATGTTTCCCGAAGAGCACGAGTAGAAGCAGACATTAAACACGAACAAAGTAGGTGCGGAGTCTCCCCCGAGGATCTAGGGTCAGAGAGCGGTGACAGGATTTTCGGGAATCCTCGGATTCGAATTTTGTGAGATTTTTTATAGACAGCGAAGTGTGTTGCTCTGTGATGTGCAGTTCTTGCCGCCTGATTTATCGTCCCAGGATCACGAACTTCGCCTTATAAAGGTTTCGTCTCGACCATCTTATCCTCCAATCCGCACTCAGCCAGGATGGGCAAGGTGACCATCTTTATATTTTTGATCAGTTTGATTTGTGTCAGCAAGCAATGGGACCTCTCGGAGACAAATTCACCCCAGGCAGGACCCGGGAGTCCGACGGAATACTCTTTAGACCAAACGGAACAAGAACCATTTTTTGAGAATCGTCATCCGGCCCACAACAGCGCTGAGGGTCATGCTTCGGAACACAACAAGTTTGAGATTCATCACCCGGGAGTGGCTGCATTCGAAAATACTTTACCGGAACCGGTGCCCGTCGACAATCATGACCACCAGGACCCTGATGAGTCCGGTAATCATCAATCAGATCCCAAAAGCTCCGGCTCGCCCGAACCAGCGCAAAATGACATCGAAAGCCATCAGCCGCCGGATCCTGCGAGCATCCAGGCAGCAGGGGCACCGCCCCTGTACTACTCCGGCTATTGGAATCCTCCGACAGGTGTGCCGGGACAAATACCCCCAGAAGCGCCGCTCGCGGCCGCGGCGGAAACGCAAGAATCACCCCTCGCGGACCATGATCACAACGCAATGGATGCCGCGGACCACGGTTTTAATCTAAACGGATATGCGCCGCAGAATGCGCCAGTGGGTGTTCAGCCTGAGTCCCCTGGTTCGTGGGATTCCCCTCCGCCAGAATCGGTGACATCGCAAGGTCCCCACGAGGGCGCGGCCCTCGCGCCAATCAGCTCCCCGCCGGAGCAGAACGCAGCTGATCAGAGCGCTCCGTCAAATCAAGGGACAGGCTTGCCGGGCAGTGTGCCCGACGCACCGGAATCCTGGTCTTCTCCCGGTGTGAGTGAATCTCCTTCTTCCCAAGTGCCAGCAGAGTCCCATGCGATGATTCCGCCCTCTGCGACCCCTCCCGATTCCCCCGGCACCACCGGTGCCGCCGGGACTCCATCAGTCATTCCCCTAATATCGGGCTTTCCCATGGTCTCTGGTGTTACAAGTTCTCCCAGTGCTCCTGCTCAATCCGGTTCCCCGAGTCTCGCGAGTTTGCCGGCCGCGGGGGCCCCTACCGATTCGGTAGCACAATCAAACCCGGGTGCACCGGGCGTGTATTCCGGCGGAGTGTCCAACCCAGATGCGCCGCCAGAGCCAGCTGCGCCCCAGGCTAATCCTGACGCAGCCTCGGACCCGAATGGATTACCAGTGAGCCCTGGAGCACCATCGAATCCGGCTGCACCAACGAATCCGAATGTTCTCCCAACCAATCCTGGTGCACCGGCTTTCCCCGCAGCACCGGATAACCCCGGTGCACCAGCTCAACCCGGTGCACTGACCCCATTTGTCTCAACAGGTTATCCCAGTCTTCCAGCTTATCCAGGCGTGCGCTTCAATCCAGGGCTCCAGCCCAGCTCGAGCTCGGCGAGCATGCTCCCGGCATTGAGCGGCCTGCCAATGTCGTCGGGCTCGCAGTCGATTCCCGCCATTCAGGCTGCGCCCTCAACCCCAATTCCTGTGGTAGCCTCGCAGAACGTACCTGCCTCTATACCTCCAGCTGTTTCGACCACCTTGCCCACTTCGTCCTCTTCGTCGAGCCCGACGAGCGCGCCAAGTTCGGTTCCCAAGCCGTACAGCCATGCGCACACCGCGGCGCAGGCGCAAGCGCTAGAACAGGCGCGAGCGCAGGCTCAGAAACAGCCGCAAACTGTGACCCAAGCGCCAGCGACTGCGGTGGAGTGCGACAATGCGACGGCCCCCAAACCCCCGGAGTGCGTGACGCCACCCACGCCTCCACAGTGCGTACCGCCCCAAAACACATCGTGCGCCCCGAGTACCGCCTCCCCCCATGAATGCACCACGTCTCCGAACTCTCAGAGTCCCGAATGTTCGATGCCCGAGGTTGTGACCCCAACGAGCCCCGTCACGACGGCGCGACCGCGTCCGACTGAGCGCGCGAAACGACATGAATCGTCGACGGTCGAACCGAGCAAGAAAGCTAAAGAGTCCAAGGTCGTCACGAAGCTGCGAGCTCCTTGGAAAGCCATGAAACGTATCTACCCACCCCGCAAACAGAACGCGAAGAAGAAGACATCTCTCACGGAGCGTAGTAAGGTCAACGAGCAGGCTCCGGGGCAGAGCCCCGCGCCGATCATCGAAAGCACCACGACCCCGATGACTCCTATCGACGAGGAGGAGATCGCGCATATTTCGCATCTCGACCGGACTCCGAAACCCGGTAGTTATCGCATGAACACGATTTATCGCTCTGACGGATCAGCATCGGGGAATGCCGATCAAGATAGCGGCAGAGGTCCGGAGACTGACCTCCCCGGCGGCGAGGAAGCATCGGAAACGAGCCCGAATGTCACGCCGACGAGCCTCGTTGACAATTCGACGATACCCGGCAGCGGACCAGCGAGTCGCTCAATGGTCATTTACGGCGCGGATGACTCGAGCGGGACCAACGCGCTCCCGGCAAAGACGGCACCGGCCGTGGACCATATCGCTCTTGTCCCGAGCGCCGACACCGCCGTTCCCGCCCAGCGGGGACCGAATTCCCCGTCGAGTAGTTTAGCGACGGCTTTTGCAGATGCGTCGGTGAGGGCTCGGGTACCCGCAGGATATTTGCCGATCGCTGATGCGAACAGTTTCGCAACAGCCACGGATGTGGTAGACACTCCGAATGTCCCATCGACTCCTCGGAGAGTCATTGTTCCCACGGAACGTTTCCTGAGCCCGGTCAGCGTAACGCGAAGTCGGTCGACGATCTTGGACGCGGCTGAAGCGTTCGCAATAGCGAACGCCTTGCGGCGGCCGACTTGCGACGACACCGAAATGGAGCCTCCCTTAATCCCTGCTCGGAGGGGAATGAGGTCAGTCCTCTGTCACCCTTCGATGAGTCCCCTACTCTGCCTTCTGAGTCCAATGAGATCCCGAAGCATTCCTGAAAGCATGATCTTGACTTCCCGCGGTCTCTCTACGATAGCGGACGGGGATATCCTGCCACTCGCGCCGCCGACCATAGCCATCATTCAGACTCGGCCTATGCTGCCGAGACTCTCGCAGCCTCGTCGTCTGTGGCCGTGGCACGCGAGGCACTGTCGAACTCCAGCGCCTCCTGCGATTTCGACCGTCGCGGTCGAGAGCCCCAGAAAGAGAAAATGTGAAGTCTGCGGCTCGATGAGACAGTCCAGACACGCTCCCCCGTCGGAAGCTTCCAGTACTCCTTCGACGTACTCTGCCAATGATTCAGCGACGGCCCTCGCAGATGGAAAAAAACCACCAGCGAAAAGCAAACACTCGCCCTCGGATCCAGCGAGAGAGAATTCCCCACGGCCGCAGACGAATAGAACGAAAATCGCGAATTCCTCCCACGACGACGAGGAAACACCCGGAGCGACGAAGCCTGCATCGGTGACCTATGAAGAATTCTTCCGGAAAAAAAATCCTCCAGCCATGGGCGATTCGCCTCCGGAATCCGAGGAAGTATCTGAAGGGACCGAGAAGCCCCGAAGTTTCTCGGCAGGGTCGAAGGGAGGTCCGAGGAGCGAAGCTAAGGAAAAATCGGGTCAGACACCGAAAGATCGGTCGCCAGCCGTCAAGAAAAGTAAAGCGATTTTCTGGCCATTCATGATAATGCACGCGACCAACATCACTGATCCTAACACATCTTCATTGTTTGTTTTCATCTCAGATGGACCGGAACATAAAAATCGTTCCGAGACAAACCCACAGCAAAACGAGCCAGATATCTCGGACTCGGATCCGCAAACGTATTCAAGCGAAAATAGAGTAAAGCCGTTCTTCTCTAGACCGAAAGACACTCTCGAAACTGAGGAGCAAAGTCGCGCTGACCCTCAACATCGGGGTCTCGCTCAGGAGGCGAGTCGGCGTCAGCTCCAGAACAGAGGCTACAGAGTCAAGTCGCAGAAGAGCCCGAAAATCCACCCACATCGACCAGAGACGAGCTCGGAAGAGTCAGAAGAGACATCTGGAGAACATGCAGAAGCGGAAAAGAGAAATCCTAGAACATACTCGCAAGTGGTAGACGTGTTGAAGCACCGAGATGATAATTCACTGAGGGCGCGAAAAGTGTGGTACCCTATCGGGGATTCTTAAATGGTCCGTGAGTGCGGCTTGCGTCGAATTTCTTAAGAAATCACAAATCATTAAACATTAATGTTGTTCTCCATTCTTCGCTTAATTCTTCGAGCGGGTGCTGGAACAGATCAAGCTGGGACCTAGCGCCGCGCCAACCCCTGCATTTCGGAGAGATGTCGAAAAGAAAGGACTGAGTGATCCGTGCTCCCGAAGACGGTACCGGATTTTATCTATGGGGAAGCTCCGACATAAAAAAAGCTTCTCGCCGAAATACGTATCATTCGGAATCGAATGAAATCTCACGATTGTCCGCGGAGCACCGCCACGGTGCTCTCGGCTCAAAAAAAATTGAGCGGCAGCGAAAAGCTCGCTCACAGAGCGTCTTAGATAGACCATTAGAAGATAATGTCGCATTTTGCAAAGCTCTCGAGATATTATGTTATGACAACCAGTGAAATGGGAGTCTGCATGGAGTCCGCGGCACGGACATTGGTCGAGAACTCATCAGCTCAGCGAGTTATGAGGCCTACCAGGAAAAATATTCGTGTCGGAGAAATAAAGGAACTTCGACTCCGGAATGTGCTCCCTCTCCCTCCGAACCGCGCTGACGACAGTGTCGCTTCGGAACGGGGCTCCGGAACATTTCAGAACAGCGTTGCGGAAAGTTTAGCTGATATTTCGTCTTCTAAGGTTCCGTTCGTTTCCACTCTGAAATAGGTATCTTTGAATTGCTCGCGATGCTCCGAGAATCCAGGTCACGATCTCATGTGAAGCGGGCGAATTTTTTTCGATAGAAATTCAACCAAACGGCCGAAATCTCAATTTTGTGAGTAAGTCATCGATGTCGTTGTCGACGAACATAATCTCCATCCTTAGCAGGATGACATGCATGAGAGATAATCGATGCTTGTTGTGTCAACTCGAAACTCCGAACACGTTCGCTAAATACGAGCCTCTAGCCATTACCGCCTCCCGATCGGATGGCACGACTCTGAGACTGAAAAATGCGAATTCGAGCGTCGTTCCGGCTCTCTCACTCAGACTCCTTTGACTCCTCGGCGACTCTACCGTCACGCTTCTCTCACATCTCAGATCAACTACACTGAGTCCCGTCATTCTGTGGATGACGTTCTGTTTCTGCCCAGGATCCAAGAAGGCGGCGCTCCTCCGTCAGATTCTCGATGAATCCCAACAACACCATAGAATGGGCGAGGAAGTTGCACTCTCTCTCTTTCTCTCTGAGGTGAAGCGCATTCAAACTTGAGAAATGGGTGTACCGACTCGGAGTCCGTAAGACGATGGTGTGACTGCGACATCGGGAGTCCGATTCTCGGCTCTAGGACTCTGTACCGATGGAATCTCATGAGTCTCCGACGGGATGATATTCTCATTTTGAGACCGTACCTTGTGGTCGAAGCTTCTCATGATCGAATTCATGTCGTTCCCGATAGCACTTGCCAACCGGAATACATGAGGCTGACGACCCTCGAATTGGCAAAAAGTTGTCTGAGGCATCGAACGGAAGGCACTTCGAGGCTTCTTTCTGTCGGCAGCGCGGACAAGTACAGAAAATCTAGTTTGGTTCGATGAGTGAGACTCCGCGATACATCCCCACGTCCGCACTGGTGGGAGGGGGAGAATCGATCTCGAAATAGCCCCCTCCCAGATTGAGCCCTCGTTATAGTGTCGTATTGAAGCGAGTCGCCGTGGGAAATGGTCATACAGGCAGAGGGTAAAAATTGCAGGAGACACTAAAGACCTCTGCTACTACGACTATTGCTACCTGAGAGGTACGAGGCAGGGAGACTTGACATCACAGCGGAGGCATTCCCATCCTCGTTCCACGATTAGTCAGTCCTGTCCTTGTCGAGCATCATAAAGGAGCAGAATTCGGGGCTCAGATCACCGCTTCAAGTGGGTTCGTCGTCATCCTTTCCGGCTCCCGACTCCCAACCTCCGCTTAGACATTGATGTCGTCAGCGCGAGGTTATCCACCGCGGAGGACTTTATTTCCCGACTCCTGCCGGCCCCCACGGTTTTCCTGACGGCTTGTCGGCTCGTAGTCCTACAAACATACTTCCGAGATAATCCTGCTCCACAAGACCGGAGTGAGCCTGAAATTACTGAATTTCCACGTGGGCAGCCGAGAAAAGTCATCGGATTTGAATGTTCTCGTGGAAAATCTTCAGCTAAACCATTTCTGAAATCCGATCCGTGCTGAGAATTTGTGCCTGAAAACGTTTCTATTGTCATTCACGAATTATAACTTCCCGCCTTCCATGAGCATCACCTTCCAATCGCAACTCATGATGCTTTTTCTTGACTTTCCGAATGCTCTGCTTGTCTCGAAGTTGTGGACTAGAGGATACGAAATAATTTTCCCCAGAGGAGTCCGACGAGCCCATGCCAAGAATGACGAAGCGCTTCACCCACCGGCGACTCCTCCATTCTGTTGATTGATCTTACCACGAAGACATCGTTATGATCACGAATCACGACCACTGTCGCACTCCCAGTGAAGATCCTGGTACACTATTTTAGGAGCGCGTATCTACGTACGCGTGCGCCATGCTTGAGTAGATGAGACTTTCTCGCCAGACCTTCGTTCTCATGCAATCACTTACACAGCACTCGCAGAGTACAATCGTCGCAAATCTTTCCTGTTTTTATTAGTTATCCACTGGTTCTCATCGATCGCCCTCCCGGCTGCATTACTGAATATAAATAACGTCGCACCAAAATGTCACACATCATTACTGTGCATGGTGGTGTTCATTTCCGAAGAAAACCAGGCAGCCTCGGAAGTCGATCGGATTTCCTAAACAAGGGCGACGTCATAAACCTCAACCTTTATCCTCCAAAGTTTCATGAGATTTTCCCCGAACATCCTCGACGACTCATTCGCATTACTGACGCATCCACGTTTTTATATTTCTCTGTCTCTCTCATACTGTGTCTGTTTATACATCAAATGTTTGCTGCATTGGTTCAGTACCGTAAATTCTCTACGTCAGGGGTCTGCTAACTATTTTCTGGGGCGGTCGCGTCTTCCTTTCGCATCAACTCAGGGCTAACGAAATAAGAATTCGAGTAATGAGCAATTCAGGCTCGATGAGCTGAATTGGATTCGAGACCCTCATAAGGAGTCCCTCGAGGATTCCTGGCCTTTCCCCCACTGTGATCGTCTCCGCTGCCATCCGGAAAGAGGTCAGAACAAAGTCGACTCTCGTCACCGACCTCGAGAGGGGAGACAACAAACCATCACTTGCTCGCTACAGGGAAGCTCCCTCCGGCGTCAACAATCAGTCTCGGACATAAGGTGACAACGGATACCGATCAGAGGAATCCCGGCGAGAATCCCAGAGCCTCGATGTTACTGTGTTCACTCATTCTTTGGAGTAGCTCCCTGAGCTTCCCCTCTCATTCAATCCCAGCTCACCGTCGGATATTCAGAGTTCTCTTCAGATTAGTTTTTTTCTTCTGTTTTATTTCTCTTCCCATTCAGCGATGAAAAAGGAATTGCTGTTCTCGATATTTATTGGTAGTTGTTGGGTCGGAAATTGTATCTCTGTCTTTTTAAAAATCCTAACATTCGCTGGTGAACTCTTTGTTGAAAAACTCGCCGTCGACAGAACCAAGCGTATCGAGTCCGGAGGCCATCCAGCAGCAAGTGGTCACCCGCTCTTTCACACTAAGTTTTACATGTTGTGGAATTCGGATATATATCGGGAGCAGGGGGCAGAGGGGACGCGAATGTTCGATTCATTCTAACTGGCTTGGCTGTTACCTTGGCTGTTCTGTCCCGTTGGCGTCGACGTCGCAGCTCCGCCTTGCTGAGAATTTGGGGATGCTGTGCCGGGCGACGATGGACTTCCCACATGTGCAGCCAGTTCCTTCGCCCTCACTACAACGGGGTAAAAATATGGATGTTCCATGGCTTCTTTCGCGGTCAGTCTGCAAAGGATGCGATGGCGTCAGTGGAGCTCCCTCATAGCTCAAATTCGTTTTTCTGGCTTATGATTTTGAATTATCCTCGTGCATGGCGCAGGGGGAGGACATCTCACGGGAAGCTTTGAGAATCTCGCTAGCATTCCATCAACTCACCTCTCGGCGTGGTCGTATCGGAGCAATTTGTCAAGGAAGTCGATCGCTTCGGGCGAAATGAGGTGCTGGTTTTCTGCGTGAACGAATCGCTCCCAACGTTTTCGAGAATGTCTGCGGGAGAAACCATTTTCAGCTCTTCGTTGAGAATCGAAACTCAAGGACTCGAGGATCGATGGAGGTGCAAGCGCGATACACATTTAAGAGCTCGGCGACGAACAATTGGTCCGGAATCTCAAATCAGGGAACGTCGGAGAAAATTTTCTTACCTGCCGAGGATGTCATTGAACCTCGAGTCAAGAATGATACAGTACTTCTCCGTGTATTCGAAGAGTTCTTCAGTGCCAAGCACTCTGGCGATGCGAACGAGCTGGTCGTAGTTATCGTGGCCGTGGAAGAAAGGCTCCTTACGGAATATCATTGAGGCGAACATACAACCAAGAGACCACATGTCTAGCGAGTAGTCGTACATCTGGTAGTCCACTAGCAATTCGGGTCCTTTGAAATATCTTGAGGCGACCCTCACGTTATACTCTTGGCCGGGGTGATAAAATTCAGCTAGTCCCCAATCGATAAGCCGCAGTCTGCGTTCATCATGATCAATCATAACATTGTGGGGTTTAACATCTCGGTGCATAATGCCTGCGAAGGACAACCCGGTTAGAACGTCAGGAATATCCATAGAAACGTGGTTCTGCATATCGTTAGACCACATTTTTGCCGAAAATCCAGAGAGTAGCGACACGTTTTTTAAAACCTTCCCAATGCACGCCTGAAGCATTCCCTCAAGTCTGGTCATCGTGAACTCACCCATGGAGTGCGAATAATCGAGAGCTTTCAAAAGTTCATATAAATAGTATCGGATGTCGAAATCAGACAGCGTTTGGTACAACTGTTTGAAGTCCGTATTGTTGACGTGCTCGAAGATGAAGGCGGGCGTCCGCGAAATCGGGTCTTTAACAACTCCCTGTAAGGATAAGAATGGTAATTCCAGATCCGGCAGGGAAGGCGCCCGAATTCGACGATTGAGTCTTCTAGAGATCTTCGCCTTACTGCGTGTCTCTAAGAGAGGAAGCTCGAAATCGTACCGACCCTACAAAATGACCGGGGCGCCTGCAAGCCTCAACCCGAGGCAGAGATTCTCAGCAATAATGCGATATGTTCATCCATGTTCGGGCAATCTACCCATTCGAGGTTTCAAACGTGGCAACATTCGTAGTTGGGCCTAATGCCGTGATGCATTCAAAAATTTTCGCCTCTCTCTATTCTCTCGAAGGCCTAATATCGCAGTTGCAGCGATGAAACTCGTTCTTTTCGTTTCCGAGGAGCTCACCTGTAGAGTGATGATGTTTGGGCCACCTCGGAGGTTCTCGAGGATTTTGATCTCTCGCTTTATTTTCTTCTTCTTGACGGGTTTGAGGATTTTCACGACGCACCTCTCGCTGTTGTTGACATTTATAGCTTCAAATACTTCGGAATACTTCCCACGGCCTAACTTTCGAACCAGCTGGTAATCTTCTTGATTCCTACAAATCAACGAATCGGAGCGCTCAGTCATGGCACAGTCGAGCGGGAAGTGTCGAAAGGCTCATCGGTAGAACGATGATGACTCAATATCAATTGTATAAGTTCCTCCGTTGATGCGATTCCTGTGCTCACCCCCATGATATGGGATGTGTTTCGTAGTCCCAGTATTCCCGCGGACGATGCGAGTTGACGTCAGCATATACACGAGCCTTGCTGGTGGAGACGATATCCTGCCCTGCTAGCGCGGCCATTCGGGCGGATTTTGGCAGAAATGGCGATGCTCTGCCGAAGGTCTGTCTCGATTGTGCACACTCTACGCTACTCGTCCCAACGATGAGGGATCTCCTCAAGACAAAACTGCAACAGAGACAGGGTTCATTATCACAATCGTAGTCGGAAGGGCTGAAGAGAGTTCGGGCCGTACTCGAACGTGACGCTGAGCTGCGAGAGCGTCAATGTGAGAGTGACTGATTCCCGGAGTTATCCATCGGTAGCTCATGTGCATGATTGATAGTGAGTCGGCTTCATATCGAAACGAGGATCATGACCTTACATTCGCACAATTTCAACACTTTGAGCGGTGCAGTATCAGTGTAGCACATTGTGGTTACCGCAAATTGGCTCTCTAATTGCCGCCAAGTCGATTTCGATATCGGCTACGTCACCAGTGACTGACTGAAGTCGATCACATTCTGTGCTATCTTCCGGATCAGAAGACGAGAAGTTCCTCTGTGACGCAAGCATATCACGGTTCAACCGTATCTCAAACGTTCCTCCGAGGTTTGAACGGGGAAGGAGTACACCTTCGGGACTCTCCCTCCTGTATAATCGTACCGTTTCCCTACTATTCTGGGTCTCCTCGAGTCGAGCGAAGAACTCGGCATGTCTCGAGCGATCACGGATCTCCTACGCGTGGTTCAAGTGAGCTGCTCTCTCGGTTTACCTCATGGAAGGAGGGACTCGTATCGAACTCTCATACTGCTGGAAAAAGCTCCGGCATAGCACCGATTCGATCAGATCTTGCACCGGCTGTCGGCGTACCCGAGAATCGATGGCCACGACGCGGACTGGCCTCTCGAAAGATTCAATGTAGAGGGAAGTGACAGCGAATCGGGAAGCTTTTGCCATGAATCATCTTAGCAGGGAATGTATTTTCACGCTCGAATTAAAGCTACCGGTGTTCGATACTCGGGTGGTACTTCTCCATAGTCATTGATCGCAACTCTACCATAAGTGTCCGTCGAGTCCTGACGGCGGCATCTCACAAGTTCTAGCAACGGCACCTCTGATCTTACTTACAGAATATCGCACGGTAGGCGACACACAAGCCGGTGACGAGTCGGAAGAGCGAAATCGCAACCGAGAAGCGAGGCCTAGAAGCAAAACATGGCCTCAAGATGGCGGACACAACGCCGGACTGTAGCGCGGCACATTTACAAACTGCTCTCCTCTGTGTTGTGTGTGTCTGGTGTCTTCTGCTCCTGGAGACGGACCTGACACATGTCGTCTTCTCCAGTGTATTTCAACTTGCTGTATGGGAGCTCGGAAGATCTACCGGGATCTCGTCTTCGCGCCATGAAACGAGAGGGGGCTCCGAGCGAATTACCCGAAATCCGGGCATAGCAACGAGGCCTAGTATTCTCTTTCGGACATTTCCGATCCAATATCGCCCCCGGTCTCGAGATCATCTTCAGGTTAAAGTCCTCCCGGTGACAGGGCTGATCCCGTATTGCACCGTCCAGGCCCAGATACACGAGATATGAGTGTCGACGTTCCGTATAAAAAGCTGAAAAGCGGTTCCTCGTGGGAGGAGGGGTGCAGAAACATCCGTGTGGAAGGCAGCTGTGGCTCTGATCGACCGGGAAATAGAATCAGACAATTTGAGACTCCGAGAGAGGCTGATCCCGGGGAACGCTGGCGCCGGGTATCTGTAGTGCGCAGGTACTCTGTCTCTGAACATGAGTTCCGGGCTGCGCAAAATTACGCTAGGGAGGACGAAGTTCGGGGTCGCTCGGATTGCGGGATCTAATGAGGAATGAGGACTCTCTCGGAGCGGCCTTTTATTCCAGACGACTCGCATCGTACACGATGATGATGATGATGATCTCTGCTCCTGGTTCTGAATCTCCCGAGTCGAGAGAAGCATTTAAATGTCCTCGACTCCCTGGCCACATCGGCCCATGCTAACGAGAACTTCCGCGATTTTCACTGCGTTCTGCGACGAGCGCTCTGAAGAAAGCGCAGCACGGCCCGAAAACGCGGGTCGAGAACACCGACGAATTAGACAAGAGACCGCAAGTCTCCGCAAGACGAGCGCGGAACTCGGGGATTCGAATCCGTAAGCCCGCGAGTGACTCAGCAGCCCTGTTTCGGCAGACATTCCTAGCCCTCGACTTATTCATTCTTCCAACTTTTTCACCGCAAGAGAATTATTGAGTAGGAGATCTACTCATATGCTTCAGGCCGGTATCAGGTGTCAGGACGAGTAATGATGAGAGAGGTATATCGACGCAAAGGCTGCATTCCCCCGAAACCTCCTGGGAATCCGGGACGCCGACTTGCTCGACCCCTGCCTCCCCGGTGACATGATCTGCCCGCAGCTCCTACGAATCATTCGGCGATGATCCGCCGAATGTTCGGGAACCATGGAGACGAGTTCTTCGGGCTCCCCACAAATCAGGCCATGTGAACGAAGTCATTGCTCGCACGCTTCGATGAGTGTTGGTGGTACATTCAGAAAGCCCTTGGATCCGAGGCCAGTGAGAAGTGATTGATAAGTGAGCGTACCGACGGATTCCATTGAGTTCCTCCGGCTGTCACTTCCCGGGATGGGCCTTGCCTTTCCCGCATGATTATATCTCCCAGAATTGCGGTCGGAATCGCCGGAACCACTGAGCCACCGCTCCTGGATTCTCAGAAAATATTCATTGAATCGCTTCACTTCTGAGGCTCCTCCTCCCAGCCCTTCTCCGGTATCAGACCCCACCGAACCCTGTAACCAAAAAGAATGGTAGCCTTTATTCTAGCGAAACCCTCCGGAATTTCTCATCTTGCATAGGTTCGTAAGAACTTCTTACTAAGGAGGCTCGCCCCATCGAGTGAAGTCAAACCTCGTTTGACTTTCTGCATCGACCACCTTTCCATAGTCTGCGGCGGCTCCTCTGGAGGTCGTCGAAGACGGCACCCCTCATTCACATTCGACTTTTTTCTCTTCGTCTTCACTTCGGGATCCCTCCTCGCGATCCTTCATGGATACATTCCCGAAACGGATAGAGTCCGCGAATTCGGCAGCGAATGCTCTGCATTTTAGACCTAGGGAGCGGCGTGGCGAATCTGTGGACGGTTTCCGAGTCAGAGACGAGTCAGAGTGAGTCATTGAAATTAATTACTTCTTCGACCCTGTGTGGCATACCGTCATAGATGAGAATAGGCAAAAATATCCTTTCTAGAAGTCTGGTCTCGGAATCTAGCTCCATAATCCATCTCCCCGCTGATTTGACGAATTCCGAGCTTTGACTCAAGATAACCAAGGCCCCGACACAAAGAAAGGCTTGGAGTCTGCGATTGAGAGGGCCCGCGTTTTCTGGAGCCTCATCCTCCTCGGAGGGAAGCTACGTCTCATCGTTGGGCTCGTGAGCTGGATAGTTCCGGGATCCAGACTCTTCTTCAAGAGCTGGGATTTCTTCTTCCTCCAGGGCGCTATCTGCGGAAAACAGAGGTATCAGATGACGACTCATCCTAATCTTCGAGTCGAAGTTCACAAGATGGTATCTTGCTTTGAGCATATGGTTCTTAATCATTAATCAGTTAGTAAATAAGGATCGATGAACAATCAATGGGAGCCGTGGGTGAGCGGTTCGGGTTTGACTATCTTGGATATTGTGACAGGTGCAACTGATGCCCTCGTACCTTCCCCGGGTTGACACGTCCTTCATTTTTCCGGTGACGACAAGGTCTATCATGATCAGAGTCGGACTTGTCAATAACGCCTCTAATCCTTCCGAAAGCATCCGAGTGCAAGTCCTGCCCTGTTGGAGAGCTCCTCATAGAGAGAATCACCGCGAGCCGTCTAATAGCTCTCGCTCATTCTCAGTTTCCGAACGACCTTAAGGGTAGCGCGAATCACGCGTGGATGAGACCCTGTAATTCCGTTCTGATATAATGTGTCCGTGGGAAGAAGCTTCAAAGTATCGGGGAACCTGGGCTGAATGGAACTCCGATGCTGACGGTCAGAAGTCGAATGACCCGGGGCGAGCGGAGGTGACGAGAGCTAGTCAAGGTTTCCTCACCTCTATCGCACGGCTCTTGTTTACTCTCGAACTTGTTTCTTGGCATTACGGAGAACCAATGGAATATCGAACACACGAATTGCATCCGCGGTCTGTCTTCAAAATAACTCGCTCCAGGGGAGAGAAGAGAAGCCATATAGAGGGTGTGGGGGCGGGGGAGGGCGTCTCGCTGACGGAGCGGGAGGATTCGAATTTGCTTGGTCTCGGCTCGAAGGAGCCATCCAAGGGGACTGGTGTTCCAGGTTGGCAGACGCCTCCATCCTGAAGACGATAGTTTTGGATCGGAAGGGGTTATTGGGGCAGAGCTCGTCGCCTTCAATGATAGAACATCCTATATGCCAAGGGAGATGCTACGCGAAAAGACTGTTCTGATTTGAATTGATTGAATTGATTTTGACTTTTTCGATTTTCGAACGTCCGCGTTGGCGATCACGTCGAACAGCGGCGGAGAGCGCGAGGATGCCGCCTAATTATCAGCATGTCCCGGATCGAGTTCTTCGGAGCCCTTCGGGCGGCTCCAGGGTTATCAGTTATCAGAGAGAGGACCAACTGAGAGTGAACGCATCCCTTGCAAATGGTTGCATATCCCCCCCCCCTCCCCCGATTTACCTATGTATACCTTCGGAGCCAGAAGCTCCGAGCGAGGACGCTATCCCCGGCTGTGCTTTAATTTTTCGCCGAGACTCTCGTCCTTTATTCGATGAGGTACATTGAGCTCTCGGCTACTCATTCCAAATAACGGTGACCGGCTGTCGGATTTGAAGTCCAGGCAGATTTCCGCTCCTCATTCGAGAGGCTTGAACGAAGAAATTCGTCGGAGTCTCGCATGGCAAACCCGGTCTGGATGACAGTGCGCCCTTCATGTCCCCACTAGTATGACCCTTAATGCAGACTACTAAATTTCGAAGCGATTGTTAACTCGAAGCCCAAACTTTCGAATATCCGGCCAGGCTGTGGGATTGATGCACTGGACTGGACCCCCTCCCGTCTCAGCTACTCAGCCGAGAATACTCTGCGCGAAAAAATCTGAAGATAACGAGAATGGAAACCTGTGAATCCTCGGCTCTCGTACTATTCTCTCGAACATCCGGAATGCCGGACCGCGATGAACGCGAAATGGAATTCGTGAGAGCATGCATCGTTCTACACCGCTTAGTGAATGATTCGGGAGGATCTGTAGAATATCGCGCAGCATAGTTGATCAACCCGCGCTCAACTTCGTCCATCTAGACTGTAACGGGCTTCGTCGTCTTCGGTGAAAATGAGAATACATATTAGCACCTCCAATTAATAAGTAGCACCTCCAATTACGATGCTCCATCTACGGTGCAAGAAGCTATGGCGAGTGAAGGAGCTGAGGAGTGGAGGTCGGCCATGGAGATTGCTGCCCATAGAAAAAACGGAACTCGGGAACTCATCGAACGCCCGAAGGGAACAAAGGTCATCACTTCTGAGTGGGTTTTTCAACGGAAAAGGAATAGTGAAGGACAGACTACAAAACTGAAAAGAGGGTATTAGGACGGGGCTGATGTCAAACTAAAGGAGTAAACTTCACTGATTATTCTCCCGTTGTGAGGATGACCACTCTCAGAGTCCTATTCGCACATGCGACGCAGCAAGGATGGTCAGTTCATCAGCTCGATGTAGAGACAGTGTATCTTCACGGGACATTACAGGAGAAGGTTTTAATGGAACAGCCAGCAGCCAGCCATGTTCGAGGAGGGAGACAAGGTCTGCTTATTAAAAAAAACTCTATACGGGTTGAAACAAGCGGGGAGAGTTTGGTTCGAGACGCTAAACAGAGATCGAAGTATTCTCCGTTGCCGATTGGGGAGGATGTCTGGATTGTCGGAAATTCACGACAGGATACGCTGTTATTCTCGCAGGGGCTTGCATCTCATGGATGATGAAGAAACAACCAACCGTTGCCCTCTCATCTAGTGAGGCAGAATATATGGCATGCTCAGCAGCGTGTCAGGAAATAAGGTGGCTACTGAACTTCGAAAAACTACCGAGCGTCAGCGTCCGTTGAGATTGAGATGTGATAACGAGGGAGCTATACTTCTCAGTGATAACAACGCGTATCACTCGGAAACGAAGCACATCGCATTACGCCACCACTTCATTCGAGAAATGGTTACCGAGGGGTCGGTGACCATCCTGCACCTT